CAAAGTAAAAGTGTCCTCCGACTGTTGTTTTTACCTCCTTTGTCACTGTCGTAATGCGAGGCATCGAACTGAGCGTCATCATTTGGTACTTGGACACTGGCAATCACAAGGTGGTTCTGCTCATCTGACGTATGGGTGCCTAAGACCAGCCGGTGGACGGTGTAGTCCTTCCCCTCTGGTCTGCCGTCATAGAAACAAACAAACCAAAGAGGCTAAAGTTACACAGATACACAGTGAAGAGTCATCGTCAAAGCCAGTATATATTGATGGTGTCTATCGATTTGAATCCCAGTCACAAAAATGTAAAAAAAAAAAAAAAAGAAAGAAAAAAAAATCTACTACAAGCAAAAAAATTACACACTAAAGGCAAAGCTAATAATAGGTCATTATAATATTATTAAATTTGACATTTTTGGTCACAAGTTAAGAGGGATTAAGAGAATGGTGCTCTTAAATAAAATCCATTGTTAATATTAAAACGTTGGGAAAGATTTTTTTTAATAAATCCATCCATTAAATCCATTGTTAATATTAAAACGTTGGTGCTTGGAGTGCAAAGAGGAGACAATGGAAACACCTGCGAACGTCTGGGAGCCACTGGACAGTGAGGCTGGGCCACTCGAGTGCATGGGTCATGACCAGGTCGTAGAGGAAAGGTGTGTTCTTCTTCCAGATCTTGTACTCTTCATTAATGACTCTTTCTTCCACGGCATCATCGTACACTAAAACACGAGCACAGGGATGAAACAGACATTGATTCCCTCAGTAATGTCAATGTTTACCAACATTAATATTTTCAGAGAAACAACTTATCTAATTCTTACCCATCTCTATAGATTACATCATTTATTTAAAATTCTCATACATAAATAGGTCTATTTTCACCAGCTAATTTGGCTAACGTTTTGATAATTTTGCTTATGAGTATTTTTTATAGTTTTTTATATAGTTTCCATATTTAAAGTGCAAACTTCCTCTTTCTTCACTTCACTATTTTAAGCTAACTAGAGCAACTATTGTTTGTTTTTTCTATTCAGTAATATCTGTAATGACTATAAATGTATTATATTTAAGACATTAGTTATATAAGACTATTATAAGCTATAACCATGTTTTTTAAAATTTAAGTTAACATACATGAAATATGTATTAATAAATTTGACATTTAATGTGTTTTTAACTTCTGCCAGTGGTAACGCAAACTTAAGAGGTTAAATAATTACAGTATTTTGTGCCATTATTTGGATAACATTTTCCTTTTAATATTACACAAGTATTACTATTATACTACAGAAATATCTAATACAAACTCTGAGGATGTCAACATATGAACAAATGACAACTGAAAAGCAGAGTGCTTTTATTGAATTAGACGTGTAATATAATTGGACACTTCTACATTCAAGTTTATTTAATTCAAATTGAATGTGTTGGATAATAGAAAGTTTAGTGAAGAGTGGTGCAGCCTAACAACTACATGCAAACAATGTGCCAAGTTAAAATAAGTGACATTTTCATATTCAGAAATATGACTTCATCAACCGCAGCGCCATAAACCCTATTTAGACGCTATTTTCTCCTACAAACGTTACCCTACACAGCGTCATGGGCTAAAATAACACGGCTTGTAGCTGCTTTATGACAGGAGTTAGCACGTCATGCTAAATCTCATGCCTAAGTTAAACGGCCGTGTTTAAGTACTCATATTGCAGCACACCAAAAAATTGCTTAGTCAATGAACATCGTTTAACACGTTACTTGCCTTCTTTGTCAGCCATGGTTCACGCTGTGCTCGGTGTCACGATGCTCGAAAGCACAGTAACGGAAAACGTGTAAATAAAAGTCAGTGTTGCTGTTGCCTATCTGCGTCCAGGCTGAACGCCTTCCTTTTCAGCGCCCAATGCCTCTGTGTATACTGCGCATGCGTTTGAGCGCGCATTCCAAAGGGAATCAATGCTGCGCGGAGGGAACGCAGGCTGCGTCACTGCGTTTGTCCCTGTATCGACGCTACTGTATGTATTTATTAAGTAAAGGGCTATCCAAATCAACACGTAATTTGATTTGTGAAAATTAATCTGATTATATTTTAACACTTTAACGCACATTTTCCATTAATTTATCAATCCATCAGACCTTTGTCTTTTGATCATGTATAGCAAGTTAGTTGTCACAAACTCCTAGGACAGTCCAAGCCTTCACTCCTTACAGGCAATTGAATTTATGAACCCTATTGGATGCAGTATAAGAATATACGTGAAAATAAAAAGCTGAAAAAGAATGTGTATATTTGTGAGACAGAGAAATCTATTTTTGCATTCCAAGTAATTTATTGTAAAAGTCTCATCCATAAACAGCAAAAAACAGTTTACTACTGTATAAGTTACAAACCTTGAAAATGCCAATCAAGTTCCTGAAATGACAGTAACAAAAGTTTGAAGAGTAAAAAAAACATGACTTTACATATTTTAATAAACAAACATTTTGATAACAATGGAGATAAATAAGAGCAGCTGGCAAGATGCAGAATTATGTGGTTGCCAGAAAATTCTTCTTCTTTTTTTTTTTTAAAGCCACCTGCCTTCCATGACTACAGTAGAAACTGACACTTTGGTTGCTGTGTACAGAGCTCACCAGAAACTGACGCTTTGGTTGCTGTGTACAGAGCTCACCACCAGCACTAGAGTTCATAAAGAGAGTTAGCCATTTTACACCACAAGAGTTGCTGCCCCGTCATTTCAAGTGACATAACATTAGAAAAAAAAAAACTGACGGCAGTAGATCAGCACTTCCTGTGTCCTCACAAACTAAAACCACCGATTTTTCAGCAGGTTAGAAGTTTCAGTTTCTCAGCGTGTTCCCTGACCCCTCGTCGTCTGCCAGTTAACCCCCAATTTTGCTAGAGTAGAAAAGCTGCCACGTTGAAGATTTTGGAGCAATCACCTCCTGTTTTCAAAGTACAGGAGGTGATGAATTTGTTTTGGACATGACACCAGCAAACAAGGCCTTCAACACTGACTAAAGACAGGGACCTGAACATGAACAGGAAACAACTAAGATATTGGAGGGGGGTTCCTGTATCTTCTACCTTTTAACTTCTAACTCTGTGTCTTTTTAAGAGCTGTCAGTCATTATAACTGCACAATTCCTCACTTTGGATGATTTAGAAAATCAAGTCTTTGCGGAGCAGCAGGAAAATCCTAACAATTATGAATGAAAAGGTTTGCCCCTTTAACAATTTTTTAGGGTTAGGTTGAAATATTTGAACTTGACTTGAATGTCAACCAATCAGGGTAAACAATTAAACAAATAGTAGTACGCGTTGTTCACCCACAAGATGTTGCTTTCTTTCCCCCCAGGACAAGACCACCATCAACACGTCCACTATGTGGCTATGAACGTGTAAAAAACACAAATTCAAATTCATAAATCTAGATCACAAATGTCAAAGTCAAGGCCCGCAGTGCCCTAGACCATTGTTTCCCAAAGACTGGGTCGCGGTCCTCAGGTGAGTCACAAGAGATTTTTTTTTGGGTCGTCTCGCATCATGTTTCCCAGGAGTTAAGACAAGTAATGTCTTTTGACTTGGGTCGTGACGGTTTGTGACTTTTAAAATGTGGGTCACCAGAAAAAAAGTTTGGGAAACACTGGTCTAGACTGTTAAATAAATGTCCTGAGACTTAGACCCTTGAGTGATTGAGTTTGACAGCTCTGATCTACATGTATTTGGTAGAGTTTCACACACTGTGCCATTAGTCGGTGGATCAGATTCTGGACGCCACACTTGGAACAATACAGGTGCGTAATAAACTGTTATAGTGTGGCCCAGTTAGATACGGTTGTTTTCTGTTCTGTTTTTATAACCATTTCCAGCTTATAAACAAACCTTTTCCATCAAAAAAGGTGATGTAAGGAATACATTTAACAAAATGTTGTTGTACAGTACTTCACGACAGAATGGATCCAAGAGTACACACAGAAATATTTTTTTTTATCAAGTATAAAGTCCGACAAATGGAAGTACTGCACTTTCTGCATGAGCTAAGTACCAGGACTTCACTCCACCACACTTCCGAAATATTTTAACGTATCATTTCAAAACACTTAGTCAAGAGTGATAAAACGTGTGCTGTATCTTCGATTTAAACCCCTCCCCAAAAAAAATAAAAAAAAACAATGACATGAAGCACAACAGAGCATGCCACTGTAGAAAGCTAATCAATTTACAGAGATCTAGTTCACAGATACACAGATGCTTCACACCCTTCATAAAAAACAGGGGCCGTTACCTAGAGCAGAACAGTGAACCTATGACCTACAACCAAAATTAGAAAACAGACACATATAGTCTAATAACTGGGTTACAATGTGTAACCCACATTGTGCACAACACGTCATACATTTAACTATGTATTTCCATTAATTCTTTTCCTGGTTACATACATGACTAACACACAGTGGTGTGGTGATGGATCATGTTGAACGGGTACAGAATGTTCCAGAATCCTTTCTGCATTTATTATTGTAAAAAAAAAAAAAAAAAGTAAAGAAAAATAAAGCTACGACTAGAATCATCAGTAACACCGCAATACCCAACATATACAGTATCATAGAGAGTAGGAGTATATATATAAGTATATAGATGCCGAGGTCTTATCAAATGTGTGTTTGTACACAGCGACATGTGATCGTGTGTTTTATAGTCTGGTATAAATACTGAACCATGGTTATCTACACAAGTCAGTGGAAAGAAGATGAGCCGCTAAGACCCTCCCTCTGCCCCCGCCCCCCCCACCACCACATCTGAGTGATATGTACATGGTTTTACACTGCAAGGTACCTTTGGAGTAACTTTGGAGTTTACGTGTCAAACAAATACAGTTTGTCTGAACTGAAATACTGCAGGAATGAGAAGCGTCGTCTTTCTTTCTCTCATCTCTGTCCACAGACTTTAAGATTTATGAATTTTAAAATCATTTCATAGTTGCCTTCGTGAACACAAAAGCCAACATTTACTGCATTTCTGTTTGGTTTCACTGATGTATAGCTGAAAAAATAACCTAATAATTCTGTTTCAACCTCCGACCATCTAAAAATTGTACGTTAACGTATGTGACACAAATAAAAACAAAACAAAAACGTGTACAGTGCACAGACAGAAGTGCCCAGATTTACCCTGGTATCCACGTGACGACCGATGTCAAGTGCAGCTTTTGTACAAACTCATTTTTTCAGAAGAGAAGAGGAGGAGGTGATAATGGTAGCCAGTAGAGGGTGCTGATGAGAAATCATGTCGGAAATTCATCTTTTCAACAGTGCAGCTACAAAGAAGGGTTTCCCTGTGGCCGTCTCAGTGTTCCTCTATGAGCAGCTGGTTCTGGGAGGACAACAATAAACACAGAGATAAGAGAGAGAGCAGTGATGAGGGACAATGTATTACAGCAGTACTGCGTTTTATTGGTACTTCAGTATGGGTGTTTATATTGTTTTTCAGTACTCTACTTTGCAATCTAGATATTTGATCTTGAGACTGGGTATGCTTTTCTATTTTTTTTTTCATCTAGATAAACGTGCACAGATGGGTCCCACCTTACAGTCGCTGATGTTTTCCATGATGTCATTGTCAGCGTCTCCCCCCTCTGAGCCGCTCTTCTGGTCGTCGTCTTTTCCCTCCTTTTCCAGGTTGTCGTCTTCTGCCGAGATCCTGGACAGTTTGGAGGATTTCTGCCACAGAAACACATGCCTATAGTCACGGTGTGATAAATACTGCCCTAATTAGAGATGGACTCACTCATCCTCCCCTTGATAAAAGAAAAAAATATACATATATATGGGGCCAAAAATAAGAGCACTGTGGCTCCCAAATAATAAATGCCAGGCGACCTGCAGTCCTCGGGACCAGACGTCCCTGCATTGGGAACAAGACTACAAGTAAGAATACTTACATTTGTGTACTCACCTCTACTGGTTACCTAAAGTATTGACAAAGTCACATTTATGTTACATATTAATACTGATTAGAAAGCAGTGATGTATAGTTGGGCCCAGCTGTAATGACTCTGTTCCTGAGTGAAAATTAAAATAAATATTATAACAAAATTTTAATAAATGTATAAATAAAGGAAAGGTAAATTCTAGAAAGCATTTTACAAAACTCATCTTTCCAGTCAGGAAACAAATATGCAAATTATTCAGATTTTTTTTGTGTGTATGTAAAATGCAAGTGAGCAATAATGGACAAAAAACCAAAATGACTGCTGCTTAAAACAGCCCTCCCCACTAAAGAGATGCTCACATTTAACTCATCTCAGCTGTGTTCTGTCTGTACATGTAGATCAGAATCTCACACACACACACACTCACATACACACACACAGTGCAGCAGCAGCAGCTTCACATAGACATAATGTATGAATAATCTTAATCCATTCTCTAACTCCAATCTGACAATTTCTCCAAATCAGTTGGACCTCAAAATACCCTCACACTCAATAGTGACCTGGAAGGTGTCCCCACAAGAATAGTGTTTCTTTTCAGAGTCCCTACAAGAACAGCTGAGAACCCAATCCTTCAGAAAAACCCTAATAACTGAGGTTCTGTCTCAGAACCACTGGACCAGAGGACACATCAGTTCCAGTGCAACCAATGGTCCTTAACAGAGTGTAAAGAACTGAGCCACAGCAGCAGCAGCAGCAGCAGCAGCAGCAGCAGCAGCACATCACCACCAACAGCGTCACGTTCCTTCAAGAGGCACCACATGCCCTGCGTAACCGGGCACAGTTGCCAGGCAACAGGGGTTGCTAAGTGATGAGCAGGATGCGTTTGGCTCCGTTTAGAGCAGCAATGGACGCCGCACTGAAACGGTAACAGAGTGGTGGCAGCTCTGCAGCAATCACGGCCCCTCACCGCTGAGTGTCGAGGACTGCAGCGCATCAAGGCGTAATATACAATCAATAGGTGGGGGGTGGGGGTGAGGAGGGCTTATGTAAGTCCATGACTGTGTCCATAAAACTGGGTGAATGTCACCATTTGGTGACAGAAAAATGAATTATTTATCTGCTCTGTCCTATTTAAATATGTGACTTATCTTCCTCTGTGTCTCAGCTCTGTAGAAGAGGAGCTGGAACACTGCACATTTGTATCACACATTTTTAACCAATTCACAATGCAATGTTACACCCCCAGTGTTGTGGTGATGTACTATATATATCCAGGATGAGCAGCAGCTTGGAGCAATATCTTCAATGAAATAGCCAAAATACAGAGTCAAGTTATCAAGACAAGATATCAGCAAAAATATATGTTGATATAGTAAATTAAATATTAGGTGATTAAATCAAAGCTTAATACCAGCCATAGGACCAGAATAAGGTTTCACTTATATAGTTATTAGTCTAAAACAACTGTCAAAGATTCATGAAAATATTTTTAAAATAATGACAACTGGAATAACTCAATAAAACAATATGTAAAATACCAAATTGTACGCATGTAAAAGGAAAGTAAGTAAGAAATATAATTTCAAAACATACAAGAGTAGTTAATAAAAAACAAGTTATGATAAATTGACAAAAAGTCTCCTACAGATACTACTAATACTATTACTTCATAGTACTACTGTTTCAGTGGATTGACAGTATTGATAAATAAGGACACAGGTTGTTACCTTAGACGTGGCCGTCTTTTTCCTCTTGGATCCTGTCTTGTCCCTCTTCAGTTTGTCTTTGTCGTCTTCCTCCTCCACTGAGTCGCCCTCCTCACCCTCTTCGCCCTCCTCGCCCTCTTCACCCTCCTCGCCCTCACCCTTTCTTTTGCCATCGGCCACATTGCCTCCTTCCTCTGTTTCTGAAGAACTCTGCTGCTGAATGTCCTGTGACCAAGAGAGAACGTGTGTGAGGGCTGTCTCTGTTTCACTGACGTCAACATGTGCTGAAACGGACATTTTTATAGTAATAAACTCTGCTGGTTCTGCTGGGAAACAGACGTTAGAACATGTTTTTTGAAGTTGTGCTTTTCTTTGCACTTTACTTTAAAACCTTTAGGCGGCCGGACTTCAATCCTCTAAGTCAACACTCACTTCCATCTATTCAATAAAAAAAATATATTAGGAGCCAAGAATTGGCAGCAACACTTGACAGCAGTCTTAGGTCAGATTTTATCTTCAGTGCTGAATTATCTCACTGTTAGAAATTAAATAGTGTAAAGTTATTCCACACCCACTGACTCCAGTATGGACCAGTTTAACTGGAATCAAACCTGTGACATCATGGCTGACTCACCTCTGGACCACGTACATTTTAAAAATAAAATAAAATAAATTTGAACTATATTGATCAAATGTTTGGCTGATAACCTATATAGGACTCTCTGCTTCCAAGTGGCGTGCTACCCACCACACTATGGAAACAACAAAGTACAGTTCCCTGACCAGGAATTCAACATGGGCCGTAGCGGTGAGAGTGCAGACTTCTAACCACTAGACCACCCGTATGTATATATATCTAATCCATTATTTGTTGTGGAATAATCCACTGTGTCTTCTACCTGGGTCTCAGAGATCACACTATTATTCTGGCTGGATAAGAGCGCTCTAACAGGAGTCCCACAGAGCTGACTGACCTGATAACCTGTGAACTTGACTCTGGGGTTGTTCTCGATCTCCCACAGACCCTCGTTGAAGCCTTTCCTCTTGTTGGATTTCCCAAATTTGTCTTTGTACTCCTTGTAGGGCAGAAGATCCTTGGGGCCTAAAAATGCACTGAAGATTGAAGACATACATTAGACTCTCATACACACACTTACATGTATTAAACTCACTAAACCCATTGGACCTTTAAACAACCGGGTGCTGATAAAAAAGAAAACAACAGTTGCTTACGTTTCATGGGTCCCGAAGAAGAAGATGGGATATTTGTTGGCAGGTGGTTTGACGGCACCTTCTGGAAGCTCGTCAATCTGAGGGACAGTGGGAGACAAAGCAATGCTGTTGAGTGTTTCCTGTTGACTGGATTTTTGCTCATAGACGACCACTTCATAAACAACAGTCACTTTGGCCACGTGTGATACACCAAACTGTCTGTCTGGCACAAATGACCACAGACTTTGAATCCCATAGACATTTATACAATGACATCCAAGCACAACTTTCTCTAAAGCCTTTGACACTGTTATAATTCTGTTGCTAGACTTTCCTTCGAGAAATGATTAAGAATAGACGGTGTCTAAAGATGAGTCTGATGACTGTAAACATTACTGATGTTGACATTGTGGAGGGCTACACAAGTTACATCACAAATTGAGGGACAGCTGTTGTTGTTTAAGAGTAAATACACATATAAATAGCAAAATAAGATAAGTTATATCTAATATTGTTGGACCTTATCTGTTTGTTTTTTGTTCATTGATGAGAAGTAAAATTGTATATATATATTTTCATGTATACATTGTATAGCAGAAGTTGATAGAACATCTACTCCTATTGTATGTATTTATTAGTTCTATGTGATCATTCTGTCAGACCACATAAATATTTGGGGACCAAATAAAACCTGCACAGAGGGTCACAGTTGGCCCCCCAACCTGACTTTGGACACACCTGGCCTGGAGTATCTTTTATGGAAAACGAGTCAGATGTGCTTTAGGTTACCTGAGGTCAGGCACTGGCTCATTTAATGTTTATGACACAGATATATATTGTGAAATAAAAAACAATCTCCGCTATGGGAGAAATAATTAAGACCACGCTGAATGGATGAGGTAGAAAGAAATAATTAATAATAAATATGACCAATATTTCCTCATTCTGCCTCCCACTGTAGAAAACAAAGAGTCAAATTCACAATAGTGCAGGTTAAAATGAAATATGGCGGTGGAGCCGTAAGCTCTGGATGTCACATCTTCCAGAAAAGCAGCGCCTGTGTGGGTTGAAGTGTACCCCGCAACCTGCGCTCCGAGCCCGGCCGCGGCTCGCACTCACCCTCGCTGGCCAGTGCGGGTATCCCTTCATCTTAGCGAAAACCAGCTCTCCAGCCTTGTATTCCCGCGGCCGAGGTCGAGCCATGTCTCTGGATTTAAAAAGCCGGAGCTGTGAGGTCGCTGATGACGTTATAATCCCGAGTTGTCCCCTCAATTATTCCACCATCGGTGTTTTTATATCAACACTGCAGTTTACTCGGAAATAAATAATTAAAAAAATGGATGAAAAAAAAATCGCGGAAAGGGGGCCTGGAGGTGATACGCACAAAATCAACCGCAAACGCATTCCAGAATAGACTTAATTCGACAAAAAAACTAGAAGAAACGTAAAGCTTGTCATCAGAGGAAATAAAGAAAAGGCAAACTTCCGGTTTATCAAATAAGCCAAAAATCAACATTTTACTTATGCTTCTTACATTTTAAATGTACTACCTATCACTGTTTAATGAAAAGATCAAACTGTGTACTGAACGTGTTTAAAATTAATTCCTACGGTTTTAATTAAGTGATTAACTACTACTACTACACTACTTCCACTAATAATACTACAGCCGTTAGTTGTAAACTTTAAGTATAATTTCTACTAAATTAGCTATTACGACACTACCACTAAACTCTTACCAATAAAGTGACCCCGAGCAGATATGGACTACCGAACGTTGGTTTTTATAATATAACAAAACAAAAATATTCTGGACCTTTTCCTTCTCAATGACAGAATGGACCGGACAAAGATGAACATTACACGGCTTACATTCATGCTCTCTGCGGTCAAATTCAAGTGTACAGTTAACCCAAGGTGGCATTTTCTATATTTATTTTTGTCTGTGCACATTATTTATTTTTTAACGAACAATTTGGTATATATTTTAGATTAAGCAACAACGTTAACCATATTGCCTGTGTAAACAAAATACACCATAACTGTATGAAAAATAAAAACTTTGAAAAATGATAACATGGTGCCTAAGTTTGTCCCTTTGATGTTAAAATAAAACCTACATAACATTATTTTCTTCATGAGATGTCCGCGCTTCCTCAATTGAACAGTAGAGGGCGACAAAGCCCAGCATTTCACACACGAGGCTTGGTTTGTTTATATACGCATAGCTCCAAAACAATCAATTGTTATGTCGTCAAATACGAATTTACACCAATATTTATAAAATGATCGACACTAAAGAAGATACTTGTTAGCGGGAATGTGAACGCTGTAGAGTTTGACCAGTAGGTGTCATCAAAGGCAAAGCCAACGAGCGTGTCCTTCTTCCTGTTAACGTGCTCCTCGTCCATTCAACGTAGAAGATGTTTGTGGACCGTGAACCACTGTCATGAGCCTCTGTTCCAACATCAGGAATCCATTAAGCCAAAAACATTACCTGCTTTCTTTCCTGCTATTTGTCTGTGAATATTCTTTTATTGAAACCTCTGCTCGGCTGCCAACACCTTGACAGCAGGTGAACAAATAAAAGAGGATATTTTGTTTTACTGTTTTTTCTCTTTATTTTCTTTTTATCCAATTTCATCAGTGTGTTTAATGGTTTGTTCCTCATGGCCTTGAAGATCAGAATGATTAGATACTCTAAGTGCAAAAAAATGACTTGAAGTTAAAAAAAAAAACGAAACTGCAGAAAATAAATTAAAAGTTAGTCTGGGAATAGGTAAAAGTTAGGTAAAAGAGTATAAAGTCACCAAAGATGATTAAACTATGAAAAGATGAATAAGTTGGGGGCAACTACATAGAGGTCACCTCAGAAATAAATCAGGAAGATAACCGAGAAATTGTAAAATTGAATAAAATGACCCATACTTTCCTTTTAGTTAAACAGAGAACAATTAAAGATATATTTCTATAAATTAATAATATAATGAATTTCAGAAAATAAAAAGAAATATTGTGAAGAGAAACGTGAACCATAAAAAAGAAGCCTTAAATATATATTAGCAATTTAGCTAAAAAAAAGCTTTACACTAGCAAGAATGTTAATCAGAAATATGCTTTTAGTTTAAAGTCAAAACAGGTCAAAAAGTAATTTAAAACGACACCAGTCACTTTGTATAAAACAAAATAAAAATTCAATGGAACACTAATGCAGAACTTGTTAAAAAAATATTCAAAAGATCATCCACAGAAGTTACCCAGAAATGAATAAAACCAACAAAAAATAGTGAAGTATCATGTCCTTGAATTAATCTGGTACATTGTGGCAAAAACACCAGAACTCAGGGCTCAGATAAATGTGGTTTCCATGGCTGCCAGTAAAAAACTGTCAGGGCCTGTGATCTTTAATAGCTGTACAGTCACAACAATGCCTGCGACCGGCCACAAAGTGCCCCCCCAGCCAGCTCAATTTATTCTTCATTTTACACTTTCACACCGCTCAGAGGAAGAGCTTCAGGTAGCATTAGTGTTAGTTTGTAAAGATTCCTCTTTGACATTCGGCCTGCTGCACCTTCCATGGTTCTCATTCATGGTCAACCTGAAGAGAGAGGCACGAACAGAACATCCTGACGCATGAATGTGGGCAGTTTGGTTCGCGGCTGACACCGTGCCCTCTGAATAAATGATCTAAATGTTGGTCAGAGATTATTTTGCCACTGTGGACCCTCACTGGTGATGACACAAGGAGTGAGGGGAGGGGGGTCAACACATGCCCCCGTGGCCCTGAGAGGGCCAGCGAGAAGAATGTGAGGAAATGAGGCAGACATCCAGTAAATAATAGTTGCCACTGTGCCCCTCAGCCAGTGCTGGGGTCCAGGAGGGAGAAAAGGGGGGCGTGGAGGCGTTGGGCGTGGGGGGGGCACTGCATGATATGCCAGGCTCTGACATGGCTTCCAGACCCAGAGCTGTCACCCCTGCGGAAACATCAGCCTCGCCTCCACAATTTGTGCACTTAACACTTGAGTTGGCACATGACAGGTGCTTATTTCCCCGCACTGGCAGTGATGCTTCTGAGCTCAGGGCACACACAGCATCTGGTGTGGGTGTCTGTCCACGACGCCGCTCGCGCTGAATGTGCGCGACTACACCAGCGATAGTTTTCACATCCACTCACGGTGTATTTGCAGATCACCGAGCGTGGCTTGACGCGTGGACACGCGTGCGAAGAGCTCCCCTGCACCGCTCAGTCCAGCATAGCTCCATGGAGCAAATATTGACTCATGAATTCATTTCATATTGTCCGTGTATCAATTTACATTTTTCAAGGCAATATCCTATGGATAATGCTGTTTAATTATTGAAGCATTTAGTTACTTACCATATAGTACACACTGTATCCTCCTGTGTTTGCCCGTTGAACTCTGTATGCCTTTACAAATGCCTTGTAGGTGGAAACTTACCTGGAAAAAAAAAAAATTTCAAAATGTGCATTTGAAGACATTTTCTCACATACGTCAAAGAGTTCTGAAACATTTATCTTGGCTAAATATCAGAATTATTATTGTTATTATTAAATTATTTAAAAATAATATTTTTTATTATTAGTTTTTATTATTTTTTTATTATTATTTTTGTTTTTTAAACTGTAGCTTTTGTAGTTCAGATGCTCATGTGGGACTTTCACTCCTGGTACTTTCTTTCCTTTCACGGTGCAGGATTAGGTCAACTTTTCACTCTGAATTGACCATTGGTGTGAATGTGAGTGTGAATGGTTGTTGTCTTTTCTATAAACCCTGCAGTGTGCATCCCATCCTGACCTCATTGACTATAGTCCCCCCCACCCCCCTTTTTACCGTTAACAGGATAATGGTAGAAAAAGAACAAACAGACGAGGATGCTGGTGTGAAAGTTTTCCACGTGTCTTTCACTTTACGTCTGCGATAATTGGCCCGAGCTCATCCCGCACTCCTTAGGAAGGTTAAATGGTTGATGACAGATGGATGGGATTCATAGACGATGCAGTGTGTAAACACAGTGTCTGTCATTGTGAATGAAGGAACACACACACACACACACACACACATGCTCAGTGTCTCTGTCAGTCGGAGGCTCTTCGTGTACGCTTCTTTAGGATTTTGTTTTTCGTGAATTTATGTGAACACTACTGATGAGATGAGATAATAGGAGACATCTGTTCTTGTTACATCTCATCAAAACAAGTAAAATGTTCTGCAGCCACTTTGATTACATTTGACATTTTTGCATAATGGCTAATTATACAGCGGGGAAATGCAACGCTACACTTGGTGAGAGTTTGAAAAGTTCCCGGAAAACATGAGAAATAAATACAACATTGCATGCAAGTATTTTCAATAAATTAAATGAATGAAATTAAGGGGGCAAGTGTCCTAGACGGTACAGTTTACTGTGTTCCTCCTCAAGCCTTTAATAAAACAGTTTATAGAACATCATCGCAGTGTTTACACCACAGCAACAGAAGAGGCAAAATACTGATACTTGACCTGTTTTAAACAAAGGACAACTGAGAGTGAAGCTTGCAGTGCATACATTTGGTATAAATACTTCTATTGGTCTAAATACTTCATATATGTTTTACTGAAATATATACTTTACTAAACTATTGTCTTCTTCTATCAAACACCAACCTTTAATTGTCCTGTTCACCATGAGATTCCCAGAAGAGAAAGTTGCTAAGTAAGTGCTAGCTGAGCTTGTTAGCGAGCAACAGTGCTAACTCCACTCTAAATGAGCATCGGTAAGTCAAGCAATCATACTGTTTATGTGTTATTTGATGGTAAATGGTAACGAAATTTGGACAGGAGACGTAGCCAAAATTCCTTGTCAAAGCAGGGAAAAGAGAACTACCTTATAACAGCAGGTGTAAGTCTGCCTGTGACATTATTATATGTGTGTATGGTGTTGTTATTGTGGACTGTTGGTGTGGATTGCTATCAAAATAAATCCCTGTTTCATGGTTTTATTTTATTCCAAATGTGAGACAAGAGCTAGCTTGGTTTGACTTTTAATTTTATTTCTGTGAGACAAGAGCTAGCTTGGTTTGACAACATTGAGACAGAAATCCCAGTTGTTGTTTAGCTTCACCGGCATTTAATTAGAAAACCCCTGAATGTTAAAGAGAACATAACTGTTTTTAAAAATTAGTTGTTTTTTTTTTCTTTTTAAAATTTTTGTACACTCCAAATTTCTCAGAAAACCCTGTTTTTCTTCTCTCCTTTTCCAATAAACTCCTTCACATAAACATAATCGTATGCACTGTATGTTTTCACTGTGGCTTTTAAAAATACACATCGCTCCTTCTGGCATGTATGTGGGTGAGTGCGTGGGTGTTTCCTATTGTTATTAGTAAGACTACACCACTACGATTCCACGCTGAGCCTCATCTCCCTGGCTGCAGCTCTTTTCCTGCCCAGTGTAAGTGAGAAATAATAACCAGGGGACTTAATCACTGAGCTAAGAATGGAAACACCGGGGCATGGGTTCACCTCAGCTGCAACTACTGAATCAAACCACAGTTTGGCTTTGTGCTGGAATTCACTGTGTTTATGAAATACTTTTTTCTTGTTAGAGATTGAAGTCCCCAGGTTTCACATTAGGCCTTTATCAGAGTGTTATTGTTTTCACGCCGCTGTAACAGGCCAACTTCAGGGATTGTACTTTGGCAATGTTGAGCAGCATACAATTTACTCTGAGGCCGCGGTGCACGCTCTGCACGTCGGACGCCTGCGCAGTACATTAGGGCCGCATCCATGAACTGATGCATTGGCAGCTCAGGCTGCATGACTGCTCCTCAGGCTGTGTTGACCACTGTGTTTGTCTTTGAATATTATTTGGATGAATACCAAATGCCATGTTAAGTTAAGGATACGATGAGGAAAAGTGTCGGTTTCTGAGATAGATAAATAATGAGACACGATGAAGTGAAAAACATCCACATCAAACCCTACAATAGTTTCATAACAAGAGAACGTTCTTTTAAAATACAAAAAAGGTTAAAGGACAACGGATGAATTGGAGAACAGAAAATATAACATAAACAATATATAACTTTTAAGTACATATCT